ACATTTTCAGGGGCTGATGACGATGCAGATACATATTATGGGAGTAAAACATTTCCAATACCAATATATCGGCTAATATGTTTATTTACATAAAATGACAATGTTGTCTTGGTTTGATATTTTACAGTTTAATTATAGACTTTAGTAAACAAGAATGCATAAAAAGAAAAAAAAACAAATAAAATACATACATTTAATTATGAACATTTTTACGTTAGAAAAACTAAACGTGGTACAAAGGGGCTGCTGTTGGTGAAACTAACAGAACACTGCAACAACATGGGTACTTGGGTTCTGAAAGGTAACGGTGTGAATAACAATGAGCAGATGACAAAGTCTTAGAATAAACAAAACCAACAACACAAACTCAGAGGATCAACTGAAGGTGTTGACCCTCTGAGGCAAACAAAGAAACTGAGCAAGGCAACCAAACCTCCTTATAAACCCTCCCAGCCTCAGATGATTGCCACCAGCTGAGATCCCATGTGCATCCCATTGCTCCTGATGAGCTGGATTCTGATCTCCACATGATCTCTACGGCCATAACATCAGTAAACTGACAACATTTCTAATGTACAATTTGAACATGAATGTACGTCTTACTTGGTTAGTTTGTAAAATAAAGGTTTGCAGCACATAAACGCAAATACAGATATAAAAAAAACTCCCTTGATAAAACAAAGAGTAGAAATGACAAGCTGTGGTTATTTTAAAGACTGATTTTTGCTGCTAAGTGAAGCTTGTGGTTTAGATTAATTATGTTATATACCTCCTCAATATACTAACACAATGCATAAGCAATGTATCAATATATATTGAACTTTTGTTATGCTGCTCTGATGAAAATGATGTTGCAATAATTAATGATATTGACTTCTGTTTGGTTCCCTTGGTGAGATAGTGAATAAGACATTTCCAAAAATGTTGAACTATCCATTCCATTCTTTTTGGGAATCGTTAGCTACAGTTAATAAAACTGTGTCCTTACCTCCATCCCTTCAGGAGGGCTGAACATGAGCTCTATGTACATAACATACCTTTAGTCAAAATCAGTCACCTGGAAGTTATGATTAAAGCAAATTTTGACAGTTATTACCTGACAAAGTCCATCTAATGTGTTTTCCACATTTTCTCCCAGGTTGAACCAGTCTGAAACAGCTTTGTATACAGTGGGGTGTAAAATGTGACCAGTGAGTGGAACTAATGAGACATTCAGAGGGTCCCCATCAAAGCAGAGGGAGATTTCTTTTTTCTGAACTGAAGTATTTTATTTCTGTGGCCCAACTCGACTTGATGATAAAATAGTTCTCAAAGAACAAGAAGACACAGCATTTTGTTTTCAGGACTGATCTGAACTAGTAGAGCGCAAACCTCTGCCAGACAAACAACCCTACACTTCTGTCTCGCTCTTAGAAAACTGAAAAGGAGAAAGGATGGGGTCTCATATTCAGAATCCAATTGAATGAACTCAAAAGTCTAGACTGTCTGATTTTTATTTCCTGAGAAACTGCTTGGTGTTTGGTGCAAAAGGTTATTCTGATAATTAAAAGTAAAGCTTCGCAGACACCATCACCTCCTTACCTGCGAGTCATGAGTCAGTCTATTCCATCCTCATCCTTTCTCTTCAGGCCAAAGACTGAATGCATCTCTGTGTATAATAAACACAAATTAATATAAAGCATAATGCATCTTTACTTTTTCATAGGAGCAGATGCACAAACAGAAAGTTTTCACTGCATAGACTCATGAATATTCTATTAAAAGTGTTGCCAAAGGTGATGAACTTGGCAAAACAACCAAAATCAGGACAAGATTCACTGCGGATCCACATCCAAAGTCTTTAAACACCTTACAGACTCTTTATTACAAATCCTTATTGTAATCCGAACGGGAGAGGAGTTTCATCACTGGCATTCACTTTTAAAGAAATGCACCAACATCGGAATATCGGGCTTTGGGACTTCAGCTCTTGGCCGGATTCATGCTGGCAGAGAGCTTGTTGTGAGAGTGGATCTGAGAGCGGATTCTGGCAACGGCTGCATGAACATCACTGGCACAGGCAGCGTTTTCAGCGACACTGATCTCCTGCAGCTCGTAGGTGCAAATTAACATGAAGGAAAGTTTTAAGAAATCAACAAAACATGAAATTATAGACTGCAACATTTACAATAATTCAGTCATAGCCATCTTATTTCATTCTTGGCTGTTTCCAAACTGCTCCACTTGTGAAAAAAAAGGGTCTTGAATTCAATTAACATTTTATTAACACTTGTATTTAATAGAAAGCTCAATGCTGCAGCTCACTGCTGATTTACAATAGTGTCATCCTGCAGAAAACAGCCTTGAAAAACCTACTGTAGGACAATGTGATCTACTGCGAGTGCAAACCGAAACATCTTGTTAATTTCGCTTTAAGTCGACACAGTCATTCTTCCCATAGCCTCGACAATTAATCTTTTTGCGACAAAGACAGCTTTATAGCCGAGTGCTTTATGGGGAACAATTTGAAATACATACCAAGCTACTTTCCTGACTGATGAAGGACCTGAATGTGTCTGATGGCTGAGTACAATCTCCAGTCCCCGGGGAGCTGCGTGGTGTCTGTGCCTTCTGCTCTGCAAGGAAGCACAAGAAGGAAATAGTATTCTGTGAAAATAATGCAACGGGAGCATGATGCGATTCATGTCACATTACTGCAGAATGAGAATATGTCGCATGGAGAATGTGTCATAATTGTAGAATTTAACTGAACCGCACTTCAGCACAGTAGGACCGCAGCGACAATGTTTCCTGTGCATCGCTATTGAAACAGCTCAGCCTGTTATGTATAGCTATTATTTTTCTACACCATATGGGAGGTAAAGCAGAAGCCAATACCATTTCTCTTTTTTTTTTTCTTGAAATGTTTCATATGTTGTTCAAGCAACTGGCTCATCATTATGTGATAATATATGAGAAAGACAGATGGAGAATAATGGAAACTGTCTTGTTTTTCATCCATGTGTCTTGGCTGCGTCTTTGTTTTCTAAAGTTAAGATAAAAGTACTTTCATTACATCTGCAGTTGCGCTGTTTCAGCCAAAAAAACAGATTGTTTCTCCAGAATGTGTTCATTAATCAAAATGTTTCTTTTTGCAGACAGATCTCTTTTGTTTCCCCGACTCAGAATAACTACAAAGCAAACTGTGACACTTGAGACTGTACAACGTTAAATGTCTGTGAATCATTATTGACCCAGTCTTTGTTCACGACTAAATCTTTCTTTTCACAGGAACTTTAGCAGAGCCTGATGTGAAGAATAAAACAAGCTCTTCATTTGTCTTCATAAGTATTCATGCGTTTCACAAATTTTATTTTGATGAAAACTGATGAGAGTAAAGAAGAAATCCCACATTAAATTTGAAATGTTTATTTTACATTCAGTATCAATACTTTGGTATATATTGCTCGGTTAGCGACCATTGGTTGTACACTATTGTCTGTGATGCATTGTGGGAAACAATGAGTGCACTATATAGGGTATACAAAACCTCACAAAACATTCGGACACCACAACAAAATGGCAAACTCACTATATAGTGCACCGTATATACTCTATACTTCCCCCTGGTGTGTGTAGTAATCTTAATTCACAGATTTGATTAGTTGAGTGATGTCATGTGAGATGATTTACAACACATGCAATTAGTCTGTTAGTTTTCTGGACCTTTACTGTGCGTAAAGACCAAAAAGTAAAAAAAATTACAAAATAAAATCATATTATTTTTGTGTATTATACAGATAGAAAATAACGACTTACAAGAGAAAAGCAACAACCTCTGATTCACTGCCTTGAACTTCTGATCGGCTTTGTTCATAAATCTTGTGAATTATCAGTGCCAGTGTGCAATTACCTTAGAATACATAAAAAAAAAGAAATGCACCTTTGGAAATACATCAGTAGAAAGGCATGAATTATGAATAGGGTTACAGGTACAGTTTCTATCCATAGGGATTAAGTGTAGCTGTAATTTGCCAAGCTTTAAAACACAGAATAAAAATAGATACAATAAGAACATTCCCAGAGAGAAAACATGCAAATGATTGTTGAAGAAGCAATAAAAACAGTAAATATAATTCTTATTTGTATAGTTCATGTGCAGAGTTCTTTACTTTCAGCCACGGTGAAAATAAAAATAAACTCGTCATTACTCTGCTGTTCTTCTGAAGGTAATTATTTCTAAACACTTTGCAGCTTTAGTAAACTTTTGTTTACTTTTTCCCGCTCCTTTCTATTACTTTAATTGCGTATCAGTGCTTTTTTCCGGGTGTTTTTAATGAGCTGTCAGAGCGTCCTGTACAGTAGCTGATGTAAATGAGCTTTAATGACTTTGTGAGACACAAGACTTATAGTTCAATGCTTTAGGATCAGTGTGGATGCAGTGAGCCTCGTTTATGACACGATCACAAAATATAAATGTATACCAATTTCAAGTTTGTAAGTTTTAAAGTGTAAAGCTTTGCAAAATGAATTAAATAGGGGAGGCTAAATGAGTCAAACCTGCAGATTTTCTGTTTATTATGTTTCACTTAAAATATTAAAGGAGACATTTTGTGGCTATTAAAGTTCTGCACAGTTAAAAAGTTTAAAAGGCTGAGACCCCACCTCAGTAGTCTGGTCGATGCTTATGTTCACATTTGCAAAATGCACATCTAGCGGCTAATCTTGCCCCCTAACAAAGCCAGGAAGGTGGAGGCGGCTGACCAATCACAAAGAGGTGGACCAGCTAGCCAATCAGTGCAGACTTGGTCTTATCGGGTGGGGGGGCCTTAGAGACAGAAGCTTAAACCAAGTGTTTCAGACAGAGGCTGAAAAGAGGAGCTGCAGCAGTGGACAGTCATTCAAATTATGACCCTGAATATGAGCATGATATGTCTCCTTTAAAATTAATCAATTAATCACATTTTATTCTGTAAAGAGATTAACAGGAAAAAAAACTGTACAAACCTCAGAGAGAGCAGGTGTGAGAGATCCCAGGACGGACAGATGTGCAATAGATGCCAAATGTAACTGAATGAATAAAATAAAACAATAACAGTAAATACAACATTGATTAGAAGAAACAGTTTGTAACATAATGGAGACGTGTGTCAATGTTTAAAGTATTTATACATTAGAAAATGTCTCATAGAGATGAAGGAAGCAGCAATGACAAATAAATTGAGGAGTTATTGTCAGTAATGGTAGAATGAATATGATTGGTGACCACTAACAATAGTAACTCCTCCTCCACTCACGTGTTATATTCTTCTCTTCTGTGACCAGATCACTCTACAGCATCGTTCTTCATCTACACAGGAGAGAAAAAAACATACGATAAAGAATATGCAAGTCCTACAAATCACCACTGATAAACAAGTATACACTGACAGACTGCATGCAATGTTGTACACATGCATTGTTTACAACATGTAGCACAAAACACTCATAATATTCCATCACTGTGAAAAAAGTAAACCAATTCAATGTGTTATAAATTCATTCATTTATCATTTTATGAAGTGTTTTGAGCAAATTTATTTATATCACTGATGTGATGTTTAGTTTGCCGCACATTATTTTTTATTATCTTTTACTAAAAATGTTTTATTTCTTTTTATCACAGTTTAGTTGGATTCCTTATCTAGTTAGAAGATAGACAGGGATTTAAAATTCATTTAGTTGGGGTTAAACAGGGCAGGTTTACTTTTTTTTAAGTGGAAGTTAGCAGTTAAATTAGCATTATTGTTACTAGTGTTACCTGCTTAGTGTTTAGTCTTCCTTTCAGTCAGTTAATGAGAGCCGGGCCTCGGGCGTACTAATCACAAGAGGGAATTCAAACGGCTAAGTGGACTTCAGCTTTGAAGTTTGGAGCACGGAGAGTTTCAGTGTGACGTGTACTGTGCAGCTTCGTAAGGTTAGATGACAGAAATGCAGAGAGAGGTTAACAGAGACATCGATAAAGACACTACATACCGAGTGTGCTGTTTTATCCCACTCAGCAGATACACTAAAACCAATATCTACATCCTGTGCGGCCGCTGAGCGTATTTAAGACATTATTGTGATAGAATACGAGGACTTCTTACCTCTTTTAACTCCAAATCTTTCTCAGAGTCAATCAGTGTGTCTGATTAATGAAGTAGAACTTCAGAGGATGGATTAGGAGAAGAAATGTATTAGTTTCTAAATGATAAAAAAAGAGTGATGAAAGATTCAAGGACGATTGAGCGACAGGAAAATTTAACAAGTGATTCATTTGGGACAGGTTGGTGGGCGTTCTTTATGAGACGGGTTAGCCGATACCTGAAAGCACACGTTAGGTTAACAAACTAGAAGCAGATGTCAGGTTTTAGCTCCGTAGCCACCTATTTAGACAGTCTTACACACTGTTGAGGTTTATGTTGTTTTTATTAAATGCTTTATGTACAAATACAGATTACACACAAAACAGAGCACTTATTATAAATTACACACTGAATATTGCTGATCGCTTTCAACCCCCTCCCCCCAAAAAAAGTGTTTTGCACAATTACGATCTCACATCTTATTTTTTTTCAAATCACAACGTCACTAACTTTAGTCTGTCGTATCCGATTAACCATCAGGGTCTCATACAGGTAGAAGCAGTAGCAGTATCAGTTGTGGGGAAAGTTTTTCTGAACATTAAACATGTTTAAAACAAGTGTTTGGGACGTTGAGTCACTTCGGGTGCTTTGTGTTCAGGTCTTAAGGGTTTAGTTTCCATCTGTTGCCTTTAGTGGAGTTTATCAGGTCTTTTGTGTCCAGATCAGAGTGTGGTTCTCTGTCCTTTAATATAATAACATTGATGCAAATCAAGCCAAAGTTGGAATCAAACAGGAAGTGAAGTGTCTGCAAATACACACTGATCTGCAGCCAAAAGACACAAATAAAGGATTTATGCTAATGAAGCCATATGACAATTAAATTTGTGGGAAAACTAATTTGTCCGAACAAGCCAGACTGAATCTCATAAGGTTGGATTTGAGCTGTAAAGGTATTAGTCTGGGAAAGATTCACTTAAACCAAACTGAGCCCCACAGCCTGACCAATCTGTGAACTGTGGAGAGAGAGGTGAGCGAGATGAAATAAGATTATTTTTAATTTAATGTGAGCGCTATGTTGGCTCTGCATCTGGTTATAGACTCATCCTGCCTATAAATGAATTTTGGTTTGACCAAATGCGAGCTTAACAGGGTTTGTGCCCGGTTGTCTTATACTGTAATAAAATGAGGAAAATGTCAATGTGTTTTGACAATATAAAAGTTAAAAAAAGATTTTTAAGTCAACCAAAAAAGACAATATTCTATTTTCTTTCATTCTAACATGTCTCTCTGTCAACTCACAGAAAGACAATTCTTTGATTGCCCAATCTGACTAACTTGTATTATCTTAGACTTTGATAATCTGTCCATTAAAGGCAGTAAATGTAAACTATCACCCTTTGCCAAAATCTGAGACCTAAGACATGGGAAAGATTCTGCCGTATAAAGTCAGAAATCTATAATAACTGTATTTCTTTGGAGGTGGAATAAAAGGTGTGAGGCCGAAGTGAGGAACAACTTTCCTGTGCATTGATTGAATTTCTTTGTTCTTCATAAAATAACTCCATTTATGAGTATTAAAACCCCAAATACTGCAATAATGTTAGATTTTGTGAATTTATGTGCTATATGGGGTTATTTTTATTTCAATTTCTTAAGGGGCGGACGAAAAAGTCACAACTTTCCATGAGGAATAAAAAAAAAATTATAAACAGTTTTTTTTTTAAGTTTGGAGGTCACATATCTGGAGCACCGTCAGTATCTACCATAGGGATGTTTCCTGTAGCCCCCTCTTGTCAGCCGTAAAACTGGGGCTTTGAGACTGGGACGGGCGGTCGGCCACTCCTCCTCTGTGAAGAAAACAGTTAAAGAGACGTTGTGGAAAGCTGCTGCAGTGACTGTGCAGTGAGGGAGCTCATGTCACAAAGTCAGACTGTGAGCTCAGGTAGTGTCCGCCGTATACCCTCCCACAATCCATTTAACCAAAGACAAGGAAATTCAAGCGTGCAAATTCTATCCCAGCTACTGCAGAGGCCCCCTCGCCACAGAAAATTAATTTCATAAGCTCTGTGCCCTCTGCTGGACCAATACTGCGATCTGACAGTCAGCATCTCCTCCCTGAGAGCCAAATTACATAAAGATGGCCACCTCTGCTGCATGGCACATTGCACCGCTTCCAAATAAGAAAGTGTTTATGGAGCAGAAAATCAAATCATTGCCCCCTTGGTTTTGGTTTGGTCTGACCTCAACACCCCAGTGCACAATTCATTGTGCTGAAAATGAATGAGCCTGCAAACCTGCTGCGGCGACCGGCCAATATCGCCACTGTCATGTGACAGCCTTATAACTACACCTTTTGCTTATATTGAAGTTTTTTTTTTTTGCATATGTTGGTTTATTTAAAGGTTTGAGGAAATTTGACGACATCTGATTGTGAATTTTCAAGCAGTTGGCGTTTTGGACCGAGATACAGCATATATAATTGTATGCACAGCGGCGGTCACTCAGCCGTAGCCCCGCAGCCTTTCTGGAATAAGCCTATGAGGGCACAAATCCAAGAGGCAAAACACTCAACCTTTACAACGGCCACTGGACGGCCCCCTGAGCTCGCACTGGCACATTTATGGTTCTAGTCAAATGCAGAAAGTAAGGAAATGAGTGAAGCGTGCAGGAAGCGGCTCCCTGGGTGAGGATGATTAGAAGTGTTCTGGAACCACAAGGCTTTTCCCTTTGTTTCTCTTCTGTCAAACATCTTTTAAATATCAGAGACGCAGCGGCCAGGGTTGTATTTAAATTTCTTTACATATTTCAGGACTGAATTTAAATAAGATCCAAGGATGTTTGTCACCCATGTTTAGATCAGTAATGTTCAGCTGAGTACATAATAAACTCTTCTTACCATAGTTGTTGTAGGCTTCATCACTGGTCGCAAGTCCGTATTCATAGTAATCTGAAATGCTAAAATCAGACAGAGGGGCAACATCACAGTCAAAATAAAGAAACATTTATTAATATTTCTGATTTCCTTGAATGTGGATGTAACTGAAAAGTAAAAGATACTTCGTCTACTTTAAAAATTGTAAATCTTAAGAAATGTGAGACAACTGAATATTTTCACTGAGTAATTTTACATCTGGGCAACGCTTTTAACTGACATTACTCAAACAGGAGTAAATAGTTGCTGGGGACTATTTTCAGCAGCAGATTCAACACATCCAATGCTCCAGTGAGTATTTACAGCAGTAGAATGGTGTGTGTGGGATTAACTCGGGTGCCCATGGTGCCATGTTGGTTACTGATGAGTTTTTAATAGTTTCTGTGTGACAGTTGAGCTCTGTGGCACAGGGGGGATGAGCTACGTCAGGGTTTTGCAACAAAAGACTTGTTAGTGGGTTCCATTCATTGCTGTTGTTGTAGTTTTTTGACAGTTATTCAAATATGAAATGTCAGCAAATTTGTCTTTTAGCCAAGATACAAGGTGCTCATATGAATATTGGAAGTGAACAAAGTGATTTAAGAGCTGGTCTCTACTTGTTATTAATGAGCAAATGCAGGAAATTGTGAAACACAGATAATCATAGAGCAGCTGCTCACAGAGGACGTGTCACACGCTGCTTTGCAAATAACAGTGGACAGATGGTGATTGAGAAACGTGTTGATTGACTTCAAAATTAAAACATCACCTCTTTGACTGGTTGCTGTAGTTATCCTCATAGGCCTCGTAACTATCGTCGTCATATTCTCCTCCATATCCATCATCGTAGCCCTGTGAGCAAACACACCACCCACACACACACACACACACACACACACACACACACACACACACACACACACACACACACAGCTTAAGCATTTGGGTCGACCTGCTCCTCATCTTCATCCAGTCTAACTGTTTAGAGATGAGCATAAAAACAATCAATTCTTAGTTCCACAGGCAAAGTCCATTATTTTGTGTCTATAACAGGGAGAGGAACCAGGAAAAAACTTCCATGTCCAGCAGAGATTATTGATTAAGTTTTGCAGGAGCCTAATGGACACCTTTTGAGGCTTAACAGCAATATGGATCTCATCTATTGATACGTAGCGACTCGGGGGAAACTAGCACAAAAAGCTGGCTAGTAACTGCAGTCATGTTCAATAACACTGAAAGTGGCTAAACAGCATGCAGCACGCATTCAAGACCTAAATTAATGAGAAGGTTATAGATGTTTTGTAAGTGTCTCCCCCCCGGCCTCTTGTAAGTACTGGTAACAACTCTACAAATATAAGAACCCTATCCTGTGCATCTGTAACACACCTTTATATTACTTGAGTACAAATGTTTCCTGAAAAAAAACAGACCAGACTGTTGACCTCCTCAAACACAAAGGGAAAATCTCTATATGTAAAAATGTTTTATGTTTTGGTCATCAGGAACGTAAATGTTTGTAGTATCAAGGAAACTCCTAATGAAACGGCTTATCCAGTCTCTTAATCCCATTTTTGACTCTTTTTCATCAACCCACTTATGCAAGTAACCAGGTTTTGGTGAGCCACCATATTCTTCTTTTGATTTATTTAACTCTCAAGTGTGTAATGTCCACTGGGGACAGGGTGGACATGTCACAAAATACAGTTTTTGTCCAGTTTTTTACATTGTCAGTTGATTTACTCCTCACACTTTCTTCAGAGCTGCTTTCAAATACGACTGTGAACTCAGAAATTAAAAAAAGTTTTATGAGCAGAGGTGAGCTCTTGATGGACTTTATGCCTCTTAGGCAACACCCAGGCTGCCTGCATCTTATTTGAAGAGGTTGCCGGAGATGAATTCAACCTAAGAGAAGACTGTAGGCACTATTCTGTTAAATGGTTTATTCATGACAGCAGGAGTAACCAATCTCAGCAGACCAAAGGTTCACGTAAACAGCTTAACCTGAATAACACCATCAACTGGAAAAACTCCAAAGAGTGCACAGAGCAGTAAACTTCACTATTGTCTGCTTTTGTAATTGCTGGATCTCACTCATTTAAGGAGATTTAGTGGAGTTTAAAGTGCTTATGTTTCTTTTTACCATGATCTAATCTCTTCTAATCCTTCCCAAGCCCGCTGTTTCAAATCACGCTCCGCCATACATGCAAGTGTTTAGTTCTTCGTCAAGATCGAACGCATTTAAATCAGCACAGTAAAATGCACCAAAAGCATCATCTCTCCTTGTCTGCCTGTAACAGCAGAGTAATATCATCTTGCAAAAGCAGACACAGTGAGTGTGAAGGACATCCAGTGCAGCAATGCAAAAAAAAGTGCATTTATGACACGTATGCACATCCTCTCCTTCTCATGTCGGGTAACGCCATTTCAAACCACTCTGGTTCCTGTGTGGCTTTATTTGTGTGAAAACGATTTTGACTAAATTAAAGTTAGGGATTATGTCAGGGATTAAGTTGTTCAGGGGATCCAATACTTCTCCTTTTCTTGCATGAGTCTTTCCCCACAAAGGCAGAGTCAGAGACCTGCATATCTCAGTAATTGACCATTTTATTAACAGTCCCTTATGACAAATTGCTCCACACTGGACCATAACTGCAAAGTAATCAGTGGATTCATTTCACTCATTATAAAAATAAACCGAAAGTTTAACTACATAAATACAGGAATGTGAAGTTGTGTAAGTTTTATACAGTAGCATTATTGAGAGGGACATTTTCACCTGTGAAGCAAAATAACATTTGTGCAGCATTTACTCATAGAGAATATAAAATATCAGTGTTGTTTTCAGTTATACAAAATAAATGATAGAGACGCTGAATTCATTTGAACACATCATGGCCCTGCATACTGCTTAGCTGTTTGCTTACATTAAAGATATGTGTATATTAATAAAGTCTGCTATGTCTGAGTCACGCTGTTGTTTACATTTTCATTGAGACTGCATTTGTCTGCTTTTTGCTTTTTTCTACGTTTTTAAGCAAACTAACAAGAGATTGGATTTTTGTAATGTAATAGACAAACTATGTTAATACCTGGTTTGGTATTATGGGCAGTATTGTCCCTGAGAATTGCTGTAAAGCATTGTTGTAGTGCTGTTCAACAACCAGGGGAAAGTGATATCAATAAAAAAGAAAGAGTTTCTGATAAACAATAATATAAATAATTGTGACTTAAGTGAGCGGGTGATGCTAAACCCCACTCCTGAGCAGTGATTGATCTGGTCTGTCTGCGGAATTAAATGAACCACAAAAAATTGGAACGAAAGCACAAAATAATAATCTATGTGCATGTCAGCAAGTCAACGTTTGAGAGCAGAGTTAGATTTGCAGTCCCACAACTTGTCAATTCTCTCAGTTTTCTCTGCAGTTATGTCAAACAAAACTAACCCCCACCCTTCAGGGGTGATCTGATTTCTGAGGGCAGCATTTGAACCAGAGGTGTAAATAAGCAACATTTATATTC